TGAATTCTCCCAGCTCTTGAACTGCTCCTTCCTCACCAACTTCCACATGCTCTTTATATTTTTCACTTGCTGCCTCAAATGAGCAATGCCGTAATTTGAGATTGCTGATTCAGTGAGCATCTTAGGCCACTAGATCAGGAGACATAGTATGCTGATAGAATGTCTTCCTTATACAGGAATTTAAGGTATAGTACATTGAAAATTAAAGGATTACAATAATTAGTTATTCCTATTGTCAAGGGATAAAAGTGTTTCATGAGGGAGAATTTTCTCCAGGGTTGAAATCTTAAGCAATCACGTTTGTACTAGACTGTAAAGATAAGCTGTGATCAAATTTGTACAATGTTTTAGGACAGTCATTTTGGCTATTGACTTGCCTTACTTTAAAAAAAAATAAAATTTAAATTAGTTGTCTCTGTCTTTCCTAAGCCAGTGGAGAGAGTTTGGGCAACTCAATTTGGGCAACATATCAAGAGCAAGATCAGAATTGGTTTACCAGTTTAAATGGCTTGTTTTCTGGGCTTTTTAAGGGGCATTGGATATTCTGTGTGATGTGCTTGAATATATTATTTTCCGAGGAGCTGGACATTGTAGGATAATGATTCTGAGTGCTTTGTGACTAAAATTGTCTGAACTGTGCCAACATGGACGCTACACAAAATTGTAACTGATTGGATGGTCTATGGACTGTTCTTTAGATGTGCCAGTCTGAGGTAATTGGTTCCTATATCTAGAAAATACTCCTTATTGGATTCCAGAGTGCCCCCAGAATCTGAAGCAGTAGTAGTCAAGTAATCAGTGATGTGGCCAAAATGAAGAAATTTAGAAGAGAGATTTAGTCCGAGTTCTGCTCAAAGTTTGGATGTGTTCAAACTTGTGACCTTAGTTGAAGTCCATCACTAAGCTATTTCCAATCAGGAAAGATACAGAAGTCTGGAAGTTTATTGAAAGTACTTGGAAGAAATCCCATTTGCTCCAATGGTTTCAGCAGCTGAGCTATGTCAAACTGCCAGCTATAGATAAATATAAGAACTGAGCCCTGTCTGAACTGTTCCTCCTGCAGCAGGCTCCTTTCCTAGATTGACAAAAGTACCCCGATGAAACCAGGATTAACAGGGAAAGGTGCCTGTCAAAAGGAAGTGCTTGTCTCTATGGAAACCACAGTGTTTTGGGTTAATTGACCTTTCTTTCCTCAGGACTGACTGGGAGCCTCCAGACAAGAAGGTGGACACAAGAAAATACCGTGCAGAGCCCAGGAGTATTTATGACTATCAGCCAGGAAAGTCCTCAGTTCTGAACAATGAAAAGATGGTAATGTTTGTTTTATCCTAATTTGTGGCTTTATCCTGTAATTGTAAAATTCTCTTCATGTGCCTGTCCATTTTCATTCTGACAGGATTTCTGTGCTTACATTGCAGTGCTCCTGTGATGTATTTCCTGTATATTTTGTTTTGAAAATTGTTTTGCATAACTTCCTTCCTAACATTTTTGTTCTCTAGAAAGCAAGATCCAGGGGGATTGAGAAGCTTCTTTCCTTTTGGGCGTGTGCTTTTCTGTGTTAAGTATGGATCACTAACCCTGGTTTTTAATCCATGTTTGACACTGTGACCTGTTTAGCAGCTGTCTTGCCAGCTGTACTTTTTCTAGGGCACAGCATTAGTTGATGCAAGAGAGTTGAAAGCATTATGCAACAAAGCAGGCTGCTTCAGTTTTTATGTTTCTCTGATGTGTTAAACAATGAACGACTAATTTTTAAAGTGCCTGTAATGTGCCTCAGGGCATGCCTCTGAGGTGCTTTAGGACATGGTCCTCTCCCTGGGCTGCTTTCTTCCTTAGCTGGATCTCACCAGTTCTGTGGCAGGGGTGGCAGAATGAGTGTGAGTTGGCTCCCCAGCTACACTGGTGTGTAACCTGGAGTATTAAATGAGCTGTTAACAATTTCAGTTTGGTTTAGTAAGTAATGCTGTGAATTAGCAGCTGGGGTCATGCAAAAGTCTCACTCTGCAGGCTTGGCTGAGAACACTTGGCTAGGGGCAGGGCAGAGAGGTGGTGCTAACCTTGTCAGCCAGTCCTGCATAAATCACCACAGCTCACTTAAGGTGTCCTTCAGTGGCATGAGTGTAACACTGTAAGTGCTCGAAAATACCGAGTGAGGTTACTAATGAATAGCCAGTTTGGTACATATAGTTGTTCTATATAGGCAATAATCTGAAGGATTCTATTGGAAGCACTAATTGCATGCAAAATTCCAAATGTAATCTGGACTTTGTGCCTTAACAGCTCAGGTATTGATGGAGTAGGTAAAGGAATGCTCCTGGAAAACCTGCCAAGGATTTTACACAAGAGTAAACAGCGATTTAAATCGAAAGAAATATTAGAATCAAGTCAAGTCTGGGACCTGAATGCTTCTCCTTAGTCCTTTGGTGGGTTTTCTTTTTTTTTTTTCCAAGTGCTCTAGAGGTCCCTTTCTTTTTGGAGTTCCTGCAACCAGCTTCTTTTCACACTCGTGTCCCTTCATTGACTTGAACAAAGCTGAATCTGATATAAGAGCATGATTCTAGTGCCTACTGAAATGAGTGATGGATGACTTTCTTGATCCCGCTGGGCATTGGATCAGTCTATTAGAGAAGTGCCAATGAGGAGTGATTTGAACATGGTATTATAATTCCATTCCTGAAGTTCATCCTGGAGCAAGATTTCTTCTAACTTGAGTGGCAATTTTTCTCACAGTAAACAGCCAAGATTAAAACTTGTGGCAAAAGGCCTGCCTCATCTGAGTATTTAAGCCTTTACAAAACGTCTGGCATCACCAGTGGCACTGGTACATGTTCAGACTTAGTCATGAACTTAATTGAGCTGTTGAATCAGAGTCTAAAGGCTACAAGCAGGATCATCATCAGCATCATTAAAAAAAAAATTATACAGAGCTCATCAAAGACAAGAAGAATGTGATAGCTGTGTTACTTCCAATATTGTTTTTTAAGCTTTAATTTCAAGACAGATCACAGAAGAAACAGTGAAACAGTGGCCTCATGGTCTCCATCAGTCTCATTAAATGCAACAGTAGTATAGTGCTTGGGGACTAGATTTTCAAGGAGACTGCATGACATTTGTGGATATCTCCTAATAATCACACCCAGAGCTCTGCCTATTAGAATACCAGCTCAAAACAATTTCAGAGCAATGAAGAGCCTCCCATTGACACCAATATTTTTTTTGTTTGGTGTTATCTTGGTTTTAGCCAATAACCAGGTGATAGATGCTCTCTGTTATCTCCCCACTGTCCTCTCAGGGGAAGATAAAAAGGGGAACACAGGAGAGAGACTTAAAGGTAGGGGAAAAAAACCTAGAATAGGTTTAATGAAGTAGTAATAATACAAATAGAATACAAATTAGAATACAAATATGTAAATGTGGAACCCATCCTCTTTGGTTGGTAATTGCTTCCCAACCAGACAAATTCCAAACTGGACTCAGCAGCAGATAGGGATGCCTGAGTCCCAGGGTCCTGGTGAAAGTCTGCAAAAGCCTTGGAGCAGCTGAGCCAGTCCTATTCAGAGAGGCAGGAGAAGGTGACCTGTCTTGTGAATGATGATGTTCTTCAGCGAGAGAACAGGAGCACCATGGGCTCAGTATACATAATCAAACATGATGGTAACCATTGATCTTTCAGATTGAAGCATTACCCTTCTTTCAGCATCAGTCCTGAACTCTTGCCCTAGAGCATTTTTTGTGAAGCCTAATGACTGTGGCAGAGTCTGGGATATCTAGCAAAGCCCCAGCACTGTTGGAAACTCCCCACTTCCTCAGTAACCCCATTTTGCATTGGCCCTCTGTTCATGTGTGTGGCTCATCACTTGTTGTGATGCAGCACTTGGGATCACACTGGCGTGTCAGACATAACATGTTTTTATTTTCAGTGCACTGAGATCCATTGTGTCCAGGGCTAGGCATACTGAAATGCAAGAGTTAATGAGGTGTCTTTTGGTGAGTGGCACCTCATAACTCTCAGCAATGAACCTTATTCTCTGTATTGTTGTTAAACAGCTACAGCTGTTTCAACTTTTTTTTTTGTTTAATTAGAACAGATTCTATGAACAAAAGGGAAGTTCCTTTTCAGCTGCACTGTTTTCTGTCCTGTCTGATTTTCCTTCATTGTAGTTTTGTCTGATTCTCTAACATTTATCTGTGAAGAAACAAGTAATGTCTCTCTATCCATCCCTTCAGAGATCTTTCAGGAATGCACTCTTGACTTGTGTCTTCTTTGATTTAGGAAACAACCTTTCACTCTGTTTGCAGTGTATAGAACAGGGTTTCTCACATATTCATGTGCTGTTAAAGATGCAGTATTTCATTCAGGTCTCACTGAATCTCTTTTTTTAACCAAATTTTTAACCAAATAAACCAATAACTTAAAAAAATGTGTGCAGCTTTGGACTCAATGGAAGTGACTGACAGAAGAACTGAGGGACGAGATGACTCCTAGTTCTTCCATTGAGTCTCCCTGTGATTCTGGGCAAGCTGCTTAATCTCTGTGTGGGTCTCCTGATGTGTAAAATGTAATTAATTCATATTCATGTTGCTCACAATGATGCCATTAGGCTTAACTGATGTTTGCAAAGCAGTTCATAGCCTTTCTGAGAGAGGTGCAATAGAAATTTCAAATTATAAGGCCTAAATATTTACATTTTAGAATGGAAACCGTGGGATCTGCATCTCTAACAGTCCCTTTCCGTGTATTCTCTGCATAATGTTATCCTTCTCTTTCTTCCATTCCCCTATCACCAATTCCTTTAGACTCGGGATATAAGCCCAGAAGAGATAGATTTAAAGAATGAACCTTGGTATAAATTCTTTTCGGAATTGGAGTTTGGGAAACCGGTAAGTTTGATAGTTGCAATGACCAATGAAGTCAACCTGCCTTTTTTTTTTTAATTTATTTTTTTAATGACTGCCACATCTCTTTGCTAGGCTCTAAACCTGGAACAGCTGTCTTACTTATTTAAAAATGTAATTGTTCATAACATCATCCTGGTACTGATATGAAGCAGCTGTTCTATGACCATTTAAAGTATTTTAAACCCATTTAAAACCATCCCCCCCCTCCCAGCCATATGTATCAACAAGGCAATATTTTTTGACATACTGTAGTTCAAGCTGCATTTTTGCTGTTAATGGTAGAAGTAATGCCCTGTTCTCATTATTGAAAGTCCTAATTCAAAGCCCTTATTTTCCCTCACCTAACAAGATCTGGAATGGCTGATCAGTAGCTTTAAGTCAAACAGAATCACTGATTTGTTCCTGGTCTTGGCTTATAAACTGTAGGTCAGTAGTTTCTAGCTGACCATAAACAGATCATGACCCTGTTTCCTGTTTGTCGCCTTACGCATGTAGCTGCCCATTGCCTAAATGGGATGTATCAGTCTTTGTTGAATGGCCCTTGCCATTCTCTGAAACCAAAGGAGTCCAAGAACAGTGTGCTTTCTTTTCAGATTGAGCTTGCCTTGCTATGTATGGGGAAAGGAAAGAAAAGGAAAGAGAAAGAGAGAGAAAGCCTTGTTTTCCCACTCTAGAAAAAGATGAAGCAAAGCTTAAGTATTCAGTAGGACAAAGGACATTTTGATGTCCTGTGGTGTCATGGCTACTGGAAGAAAATGTGACACTAAAGTATTTTATGGCCTGGTTCTTACTCATTAAACATTTCTAACTTTATTATCAAATACTTTTGAATAAGTTAGTGTGACTACACCAGAGGGTCAGTATCAGCCTCTCACATCTATTCAAGCATTGTGGTTGTTTCTCCTTGCCCCTTGAGGTCAGTTGTCAAATGCACAAGCACACCACTTTTGATTGCTGCTGAGATTTCCCTGCATGTGCAACAAAACAGAAATATGTTTTAAGGTTCAGTACTGGCTTCAAAGGCAACTTCACACTGACACTGGAGAGCAAGTTTTCTTTAAATCTGGTCTTTGTTCTCATAGAAGTGACAAAATTCCTCTGCACAGGATGTAGCTGTCTGAAGTTGGGTGTCCAGTCTGATCACATCACAGAAATAGTGTAGTTTTTACTGAAAAACAAAAGTGGGCAGTGGCTGGGCAGTCCATTCTGCCATAGAAAACTGTTTTATAGCTATGGATCTTCTAAACTGAAGGAACTTCAACAATGTTTGAGATGAGAACCCCTAACCTTTAGGCAATAGAAGTCAGATAAATCCCACCTCACTGAGGCTTTTAAGTGATGTCAGTATAAGGATTTAACCCTTCACAAATTGTCATGGTTTAAGATTTCCACAAAATGAGAAGAAACCTGCT